GCCAATTTATTTTAAACGTAAGCGAGTTGCGTGAACCGAAACAAAATAAAGTGCTAAAAACAGCCTGTCACGCTGCAAACTGAATAAAGTCATGGTTACATCTGCAACAGTATATCAGGGAGATTCAGAACCCTTACCCTTACTTGACCTCTGAAAATGCAGGCACAATGAACAAGTTGCATTATGTGGGAGTCATGCATTGTAGGTTCATTTTGTTTGAGATGATAGTTGATTTGACCTGCACCCTCATGAACCAAATGCTTGCAGATTCTCTTGCCATAACCAAATAAGCCCTAATGAAAGCCTAAAAGCAGAACAAATGTTTTGTTAATCGGAACCTATTTTCATCCACACATCCCTTAGCCTCTTAGGCAGACGCTCAGTATCGCACATTCCTCCTAAGGAAATATTGTGTGACTGCATAAGAGGCTACTGATCGTTTTTTTTGTTGTTGTTGTTTAATTTTTAATTATTCATTTCTTAACTTGTGACAATTCTTCTCACATCATTGTTGATGAATGAACTCAAATTCGGTTTACAAATACCAGTTATAAATATATCCCAATTTTGCAAGTGCCAGCAAAAAGATACGTCATCGCTTCTGCATGCATTGCGTGCCGTTTATTAATGTTTGCTGGAGAACATACTGTTAAGTGTTTGGAGGGTTTTTCGTGGAAACCCTATAGGGTCCCATAGTCTTTTAGCTTTGTAAATTCTTATCTGCTCTACGAAAATCGGTAATAAAATCACTCATGAATTTTGAGCCCGTGCTCAAAGCCTCTAAAAGGTTCTTCAGTCTCTTTTTTCGACCCAATGTGCAACAGTATTCTGGGAAGCCTGGGTAGCACTCACACCATCCACGCTCATTTTCGCCTTGATCTGTAGGAACTTCTGGACGATCAGGTATGGCATATATCCATGAGCTTTTGACAAGGAAGGAATTACATTAATCTGGCATATTTGTTGAGCATTGTATCCTATTTAAATGATAAATATCCAGTTTTTATATAAAGTGACTGATATAGAGTGAATTACAAGGATTTCTCTCGCTGATATAATCGTACATCTTTCACAAGTGAGAGGCATGTGAGTATTACAACGAAAATACAGTCGAAAATTTTCGGAATTCTTGGAAAGCTTCGGTAGTCTTCGGACATCTTTGGTAGTCTTCGGAAATCTTCGGCTGTCTTCGGGAATCTTCGGAGATCGTCCGAAAAGATCGGGAATCGTCGGAAAGGGACCGAAAACTTCTTGATATACTGAGCAAAATAACATTGCCCTTTTTGGAGCCGCTTTTGTTTCTTTCTGGATAAAATTTACTCTTACAGAGAATTTTTTATTGTTTGTGTTAAAATGCCTAAAAATCAGGAGCCATAATCGGGGACGGAGACCGTAAGTCTCGGGATTCGCGCGCACCTATGATATGGGAC